TCAGGCTTTCAACAGATATATGATCTAAACCTTCAAAGTACATTCTTCTGTTGCCCGGGGGTTGTGGCATGAATGAATCTGAGCCCCATCTCTCTTCTGATGCTGATCCTCTCCCAAGCAAAGGGAAGGAGTATTGAATTATCTCAAGAAACCAGAACTAAAATTAACCCTAGTTCAATTAATTCAACAAATTCAAACATGTATGGGTTTATAAAACGACTACTCCAATTGCACATTTTCACTTTCTTTCAGAACTTGGAAATTACACTCAAACCAAGTTAAGATTGGGCAACTCTAATTCAAAGCTTTACCACAGAACAGGCTTAAATACAGACGACTCCCCACTTTTGTGGGGGTTACATTCCGGGGGCCCACGGACATAAGGGGAAAGCGTGTAGAATCATAGAATCATAGAATCATAGAGCTGGAAGAGACCACAAGGGCCATCGAGTCCAACCCCCTGCCAAGCAGGAAACACCATCAGAGCACTCCTGACATATGGTTGTCAAGCCTCTGCTTAAAGACCTCCAAAGAAGGATACTCCACCACACTCCTTGGCAGCAAATTCCACTGTCGAACAGCTCTTACTGTCAGGAAGTTCTTCCTAATGTTTAGGTGGAATCTTCTTTCTTGTAGTTTGGATCCATTGCTCCGTGTCCGCTTCTCTGGAGCAGCAGAGCATCCTCTTAAAAGTCTTTAAACCCCTCTCTGCCCCCCTCTCTCCAATCCAGTCCAAAACCGCTACACACATGCACAGACCGCACAACTAAAATGGAAGCTCTGGAGCCTGTAGGAGGGTGGAGGTTGTACAGGAAAGTAGCTGCTGCTGCCTTGCTACCCCACATGTCAGCTGTTAGGCTGGAAGCTGAGCAGCCTAAACAAAGCTCTGCTGCACCTCCTGTTTCTTCTGACGTCCTCTTTGGGTTCCAGGGAGGGTCTCCTTATGAGCCACAGGGACTTTTAGCTCTCTCCTGCAATTTCCAGGTTGAAATGATTTGTTTAACAATTTCCCAGTGCTGTGTGTATATGTAATCACATGTGAGGCAGTCACATTTAAGTAGGGGGATGCCTGTATTAGTTAACGTTAGAGGGCCAGCATTGCATAGGGCTGGAGCTGGTCATAGGTGAGGTCAGAGCCAGGGTGAGCAGGACCACTTTTTAATTTTTTTCTTCTCTTTATTCCCCCCTTTTGTCTCTCTCTTACACACAGTTTTCTATGCCCCTTCTTTCTCATTCTTCAACTCCTTCCTGCACAGCATGGAAATGCAGCAAGGCAGATCACTCCATTCATGTTCCAGCGGCTTACTCAGCTTCTGCACTGGGAAGAAGAAAGAGCCTTCTCTTCCTCTTTCCCTAACATGGAAACAGAGAAGAAGACCACTCTCTTCCTGCTCTGATCAGTTTCATTGACTTATATGCTGGCACCACATCCACGCATCCCAAGCAAACTTGGGACATTGATGATCTCTTGGATGTGGCAGGTGATACTGAGACTAAATCTGATTTTGGGTGCTTCTTCAAGAGCAATAAATAAATAAATAATGGCTTGTGCTCTCATTTATTTATTTACTAAAGTTGTATCCCACTTTTCCTCCAAGGAGCACATGGTTCTCCCTTTCTGCCATTTTATCCTTGCATCAAGGAAGGCTACTTCTGAGGTAGGCTAGAATGAGAGATAATGCCTGGCCACCGTGGAATGAGTTTCATAACTGAGTGGCAGTTCAAGGGTGAGATCACTTTAGGTCAGTTACTCATCTTAACCCTGGAAAATCTAAGTGTTAAGAGCAAACAAAACCAGACAAGCCAGTAAAATGTCAGCTCATGGTAACCATATTTATGTAATTCCAAGGCAAAGGTAGTTGATGAAAGGTCTGCAGACCATATCTGGTCTAAGGCTTATTCCCCACTTTGTCCCTGTAGTACTGCACTGCCACCATATGGTAATTCAGCCTTGGACTCACTGTAATGATGGAAAGGGCTGGAAGAAAGCCTTTATGACAGAAAACAAAATATGATATAGAGCTCTCCTGTTCTAAGCAAAAACACATTGCCAGGTATTTCATAGCATTCGGCTGTGCTGAAAAGTGATTTGCTCCTTTGTTGTTGAGTACCTCTGTTTACAAGGATAGACAAATGTTTTGTGCTGCTACAATAATTTAGCATAGCATTGCTTGGAATGGTATTGATGGACCCCATTGGGCTTTGTCTAGAACCATTTTGCTCATAAATTTGGGGATGGTCAGTTGGTTAAGCCTGGTTTTGCCTTTAAAAAATAAAGCAAGTGGGGAAACCAGAATCGGAGACCATCTCTATTGTTCGAAGATAACCTTTCCACTTTCTGCTAACAATTTTCTGTTTTACTCAGCTGGTTTTGTAAGGAGCTAAATTATCAGGCAGGCTGCTGCAGAGTTTGCCTTTGCTGCAAGAGAAGCTCTTTTCTGCCCCCTACTGTTCATTCCAAAGTTTGAGTGTCCTCGCCATTCAAAATGCTTGGATGCAGCAGGTAACATTTTTCAAAAAACGAATTTCACTCTTTTCAATAAATACAGCAAGGAGAAATCAGTTCGGGGAAAACAGTTTAAAATGACAATGCCTGCATGTGACTTACAGTAAATCACCATCGTTCAATGAGAAACAAAACCAAGTTTATTACTGAAGGCACAAAGATCCTGAAAATCCAAACTTTCAGTGAGGTGTGTATGCCTGTGATGTGCTAAGGCTGAGATAAAGTTAACTGTCTCACTTTTTGCATGTTTTCAGGTGTGTCATAATGCGTCTTCTTTATCAGATATTTTTGCCACTCATTGGGAACATAATCAGCTTGTTCAGAAGCTGTTTTTCAAAGCATAGTTTTCCTTCTTTCAATTTGCCCTTGCCGTATTCAACCTCAGTTTGCCTGCAGTGTTGTTAATCTGATTGGCTAGGCCAATGTGACTTTCTTAGTGACATCATCATGGTCCCTTCTGATGCAATGACTTCATGGATGCCTGTGGTCAAAATCACATGGGTCATCATCACAGCCATTGGCACTAATGCCTGTGGGCAAGTATGGTATGGGTGAGAGCAAAGGAGGAGGAAAATGACTTCAACATGAAGCAATAGCCAAAAGGAACAAATCGACACTGAGCAGAACTGAAGCAGCACAAATGTTCACTGCGGTGGGGTATCTTTGGACAATGTATTTGCTGCAATGGCTGTCAAACTGGAATAATTAAATATTCAATTCAATCGTATATTTGAACTATTAAAAATATGCAACAGGAACTGAAATGGAAGGAAAAATTAAGTAGTATGATACACCCGGAAGAAGTATGAATTCTGCTTTCTGCCATCTTTTTTATCTTTTATTTTTTGTCTGGAAATACCGTTATAACAAAAAGCTAATTATAGTGCACTATTTATTAGAGGGCATTACTAAACAACCTAGTCCCTGATATCTGTATTGAAAGCACTTGGGTCTGAAATGAATTGTGTGCCTAATCATGGCCAAAGCTAATTTTAGGCACCAATGTTTTACATCACTGCATCACAAACATCCACATTCAGTGATGGCAAGAGGCCAAGTTATAGAGAAGAAGGGTAAACTGCCTGAAGAACCCCCATGGTCTTGTTTTACTGCCAAACCAAGCAGCCTCTTTCAAGTGAAAATTGAAGGCAGGTATTCAAAAGAGCAGAGATTGTTCTTTTAAATAAAACAGCTATAAAACATATGTATAGTGACAGGCATGTGCAGCCATAAACTTCGAAAATGTAGTAAAGGCAATCCCAGAGGAATAAAGAATAAAATATTACATCATTCCAGCTTGGCTTCCTCTGATCAAGAACATTACTAAAAACACCCTCAAGCCACATATCAGTTCTGTAATGGATTTCATTCCCCCCTTCCATTAAAATAGCTTAAATTATTTTTAATTAAAAACACTAATTGTTATTTCACACTTAACCATGAATGGCAGACATGAAAGTACATGATTTGTCAAAAAGCAGCCTTACAGGTAATTTGCACACTAGTAAGCAAAGTAGAAAATGATTCTAATGGCTGTACCAGAAAAGAAGGAAGGAAGGAAGGAAGGAAGGAGAAATGCATAAAAGAAGAAATAGCAAGCATAAACTTTTAATGCATTAACTACTGCAATGAACTAAAGTTGAAAGTTCACAATTTTGAACAGGCATGAGAAAATGTGTGCAGGGAAGTCACTTACGAAGTAATAGCAGCCAGCACTGTGCAGGATCCAATCAGATACCATGTAACAGAGGGATGATCAGATCCTTTGTGGTGCCATGAACCCCTGACATTTTAAAAGGGTTTTAAAGGGTTTTGAAAATCCTTAACCCCACCCGCTTGAATTGTTACAGAGACAGGTGAATTACTGTGATTCAAGGGTTATGGTGGACTAGGTGTGGGTGTGTTGCTGTACAGCCCTACTTATCAGTCACCTTCCTTCTAGCTCTTCTTGAATGGAGAAGATATCCCACAAGGCAGCAGAGGTTTAGGATAAGAGTCTTCCTTCTCCTAGATGGGCTACCTGCCCAGGTTGATAAACCCCATCTGCCCCCCACTTCCCGCTACAGACCATGCAGAAACCACTTTCTTGACTGTTGGACCAACTATTGGTCTTGTCTGCTCAATCTGCCAGGGTCTGTTTTCATAGGCAGAGGAAGTTCCAATTGGCTACCCTCACCTGGCCTAGCCAGCCAATCAAAACTGTTTATCGGGGTGTGGCTGCTGTCACATGCTGACAGCTTCTAGGAGCCCCCCCCCCAAGTTGATGGGCATTGCCATTCAAACAGTATGTGTGTGTGTGCCGTATGATGTGATCAGTTATGTGGCGCAGGGCTTACTTGCCCTGCTCCCATATTTTATTCAAGTTGGTACCCCTGGCCACAGGTGGGAACTGAATGCAGGGTGAGGACCAAAGGTGGAAAACTACCCTAGAAGGAGCACAATATGTTCCCCACCAGAGGCTGTACCCCTCCCCATATACCGGTACCCCGATCTCTCTGTGTGTATTGTGTGTGTGTGTGAGAATGATTATATACACACATACATACACACACACACACAGAGAGAGAGAGAGAGAGAGAGAGAGCTGAAGACTTAAAGTAAATTAGTCTAGCACAAGTGACCTTTGGTATGATGGATATATCATGCTGGTTTATGGTTTTACTCAGATCACAGTTCTCTATAGATTTTGAAACACCCTAACAGTTGTATTATCCATATTTAACTACTTCCAGAAATTATTCCCAAAGAAAAGAAAGGCAATATTACTTGAACATTTTGCAAAAATTGTCAAATTTATTATTTAATATATTTGTGAATTATTAGTCCCCACTCAGTAAAAAGGGCAAATCATGGAGAAAAAGGCCCTGAATAATTTATCCCAGAAGGTTGCAAGATTCATCTAATAAATTATTTCATACCTATATATCTGTCATTTCTGGGTATATGAGAGTATAGTGATATGCATTAATTTTATTGCACTATCCCAGTACTGAAATAGAATGATTTAGATTTTTTGTTTAACCTGAAATGAATCTTTTGGAATCTTTTGGGCTACATCCAAGGAAAAATAAATACACCGAGAAGACTCAATCAGGCTTGGAATGGTACATATTGTGTGGGTATAATTTATAATAATCACTGCAGAATTATTGCAACTCTTTTATAGAACATCACTCCCTTTCTCAGCTTTCATATCCACCCATACAATAAATCAATCAGATAAATAGCCTTCACTCAGAAAATGGAATCATCTCAAAGCATTCAACTCACAGAAGGAGGATTGATTGAAAACATTTCTTCACAACTCCACCAAATAAAGGTTTTGGGATTCTGGTTGCACATTGTTCTCACTAAATCCTGATGGCTGGCGAATCGGGTTAGTGGGAAGAATCCATTTCATGTAATGGGATAAGATCTGCAAGCCTTTGAAGAATAGTTACAAAACCATCGCATACAAAGATTGCTGCAGAATATATTTTTTCAGATAACATGTATAGCAAAGAGAAACAAGAACAAGAACACAAGTTCAACCAAATAACCAAGTACAGTAGTGCAAATATTAATATTATTTTTATTAATTTTTTTATTTAAAAAATGAAGAAGAATTTAAAAGAATACCTTTATCTGTTGTTCCATGCCAAATATGGAATATGCATTCCAGCCCAGATTCTTGCCCAGTATATAAGATTGCAGCAAAGGGCTTGTCCAATGGGGTCAAGCTGCAGCAATAGCCGCCCAGATGTGCTGAGTGGCAGAGGAGAGGTGGCATTGAGGTTGGGGCAATGTGGATTCTTCAGCAAAGTATGCCTGTTCTGTCCTGGACACATCATTGGCTCACCTCTCATGCTCTCAGTAAGCAGCAGCGACACCGCAGCAGGGGGCTGTTGCCGCAGTTCTAACCCCCACACCCCCGGCAGCTCCTGCATGGGTGAATATTCTCATGTGACTTAATACACCAGTGTTATTTCCTTATTTCTATATTGCTTAATTCCCAAGGTGACTTCTCAGTGGTTTACAAGTGCATAACACTGCATAACAAATACACTCAGTTTTTTAGTAAATAAGTTATTAAATTGCCTGCCTCCCCACACTCTAATTGTATTATTTAATTCAACCATATTTACTTCTGCTCAGATTCTCACAATTCACTTATCCAGGGAAGGAGTTTGAGATTTTTCTCAAACATGTTGAATATATTGTCCCATGTTGGTTGGAACATGTTGTCATCTGTGCAGCTGTTAACAAGTGAATGATCATTTCTGATTGCTCTGGCAATGCCAAATATTTCATTTAACCAAACAAAATTAATAATAAATTTGTTGGGAACTTGCAACTTAAAATTTCAAGTTCCTTCCTCATACAGTGGTACCTCTGGTTATGAACTTAATTCGTTCTGGAGGTCCGTTCTTAACCTGAAACCATTCTTAACCTGAGGTACCACTTTAGCTGCGGGGCCTCCCGCTGCTGCCGGGGTACGATTTCTGTTCTCATCCTAAGGTAAAGTTCTTAACCCGAGGTACTACTTCCATGTTAGCGGAGTCTGTAACCCAAGGTGTTTGTAACCTGAGGTACCACTGTATTGGTCCAGCAGATCTTAATTTTGGGGCAAGAGCCAAATAAATGGTATATATCTGCTTATTGTGCCCAAACATATACTGCATTTACTATTTGCCCTCCATGTCTATTAAATGTAACCTTGAGAGTATCAAATGCCAGCTGTTGTCAGAGCCATGGTTGAAATTTGTTTTATTTCCTATTTATTTTACAGATTGGTAAAAGTTGCATATATGCATTCTCTTAAAATGCAGATTTTGGTATTTTTTTCAATGCACTTCCTACACACACACACACACACACACATTTGTGTGCATTCTTTTGAAATATGAAACAAAACACGAAACCTCTTCTTAAAATTCCAAGAAAGGTGTGATCCAATTGGGAGTTGTGTTTGGATGTGCATATCATTCTGGGACCATTGGAATAGGATGGTTGGCTTTAAAATGCGGAATGCACAAATTTCTTCTCCATACCTAGAAAAAGGAGCAGCACCAAGAAAAGAAAAATGAAACGCAAAGAGTGGTGAAATGGATTCCCCAACGCAGTTCATCTTATCACATTCTTCAGCAGCAAAAAAATAAAATAAAAACCATTCTACTCTACTCTCTGAGAAAACAAGTGACGATGACAGCAGAACACAATGGAATACTGTTGCCCCAGAAGAAGAAAATATGATGAAATTTGACGGGCGACTGTATTTTTCAATATATGTTTCAACTTCCTGTACCTTTTTGACACTTTGTCTCTTTTTTTTTGTTTTCTTTCTGGTTTTCAAGTTGTTATTTCATTTATGAATCGCTTCCCACGAGGCACCCCAAAGCAATATACAATATAACAACGGCTATAAAACACTTACATACATAAAAACAGTAAAAACGTTTGCCTGTGTAAAAGCAAATTACAACAGTTGCTCTGAGCCAGTTTTCTTCGAACCTCTTACATCAGGGCAAATTAGGCACAAGCCTATGGGCCCCACACCTTTTAGGGGCTCCGCAAGAATGGATTTGATCTGGAAAGAAAATTACAAAAATATATTAGGAGATTATTTGTGAGGGGCCCCCAAGATTTTGACTGCCTAGGGGCCCCCACGGGGTCTAATCTGTCACTGACCATCACAATGAAATCCGGTGCCCCCCTTTTTTGTCTGAGTGGGTTGAAATCAAACTACAGGGGCAAAATAAGTGTGCACAAGTCTTCCCAAGTGCCAGCAATCACCTGGTTGTTGTCAGTACCTGCAAGTGCCCACCACCAGTTGATTCTTGGGAAGCCCTATACAAGGATACAGTGGTACCTCGGTTGTCGAACGTAATCTATTCCAGAAGACCGTCCGACTTCCGAAACGTTCAACAACCGAGGCACAAAAGGCAGTCGGCAAAGTCAATGGAGAAAATGGAAAAACACACAGCAGAAGCCGTTCGACTTCTGAGGCACATTCGAAAACGGAAGCATTTACTTCCAGGTTTTCGGCATTCGAAAACCGAAACCTTCGGCTTCCAAGACACTTGGAAACCGAAATACCACTGTATTGGGAACTGTTAACTAAAGGTTACAAACTCTGCAAGAATAATTTGCCATGCTGGCAAGACTTTGATGCCCATCTGGGTCAGATTTCTTATGTGGAGATCTATTACGTACCTCACCCTTGTACATAGCCTCTTGTAGCAAATGGCCCTTTGCAGTTTACAGTATAAAAACACAATATACATAGCATAACAACAAAACCCTATAACGATAACCCCCCCACACACACAATTTTTTTATTCTGCCACAGAAACTTCTCCTCATACTCCGACCTTTCTTTCTCCTCTGCCTCTGAGGCTGCTCCCAAGTCCCATGCGCTGTGATGCCTCAGGGGGCCTGGTTAGGCAGGGCGACACCTCTGTCTTCCATTAGCCAGCAAAGCAGTTGATTGCTGTGGAAGAAGCTGTCACCAGTGTTTTTCCACTGTTTGTGAGAAGTGCCTTCTTTTTCATGCTTGGTTTGTGGGCAGGGCCAAGAACCATTACAACTCCACTGGCTCGATTCTGGATGTCTTGTGTGTATATAAAATTTCAAACTGCTTGACAAGCAGGGCTCAAACAGACAGGAGACCGCCTGGGGTGAAAAAGAATTATTATTCACAATGGCACACACCTCTTTCCAAAGGGAGGATGGCTGTTCAGCACCTTGTAAATGCCCAATCATTCATCCATGCAGATGTAGGAAGGGGTGGCAGTGGAAGAGAAATAGATGATGCTATATATCAAGCAATAACAACCCTAACCTTAAATTGAAGCTATATGCCTATACAGTACTCATTTTCGATGCCAAGACCAGCAAATACACCCACCCACTTAATATCTTAAGAAGGGCTTTCACAGATGCAGGAAAACATTGAGTACTGTAACAGTAAGACAAACAGAGATGAACACAGTAGGCCTGAGAAAAAGATACTCAACACAGAGCAGGCAAATCCTAGCTGATATGTGACACTTTTAATTCTGCCTAATTGATAAGATTGGAACAGCAAGATCTCACAGCTTGGGAGCAGATCTTTGGTTTCCTTTCCACTAGCACGATCACATCTGGTTCTTCTGCAATTTATTTTCGCTTCTCCTTGCCCTGCCATGTAATCTTTGCTTCAGCTAATCCAGTTCACTGTTCAGTAAAATGGTGCAAGTCACCCGAAGGGCATCTCCAAGGCAAACAGAAATATAGAACAGATCTCAGAGGGGTTTGAATCTACTGGTGTGTAATAAACAAAATAATGTATAAAGGCATATGGAACAGTCAGTTAAAATCATTGAAAGAGATAAAACATAAGAAACACGAACCTTCACTCCCCCCACGATTACCAGCTGCCCTTGACTCCAGCTGTCAGAAGAATTAAGTGGCTTGCTAATATTTTGCAAAATACGTTCAGGTTTTGGTGAGTCTTCCAGGGAGCTGCACAGTGGTGAAATAACTTATCTATATTTACTTGCATTCATTGGATGTGCTAGCTGGATTGGTATCCATTCTGTAC